GATATACTTTTCTCGTATTGGCATGAACAAAATTCAGTAAATATTTATTTTATTAAATTTAGAGGCCGCCTGACTCCAGATGACTCTGGATGACAATAAAAATGGAAAGACAATAAAAACAAAGAAAAATCCTAAATATCTGGAAGGACAAACAATTTGGAAAATCTAAGATTATAGACTAATTAAAACTGAAAGGTTTTACTGCAGCTAAGGAAGGATTTGGTAATGCCATGTTATAACAAGGATAACAAGAGGTAATGTAATATGTATTATCTATTCACCTCTACTGCTACAGGGTGAAGCCTTTACCAAACAAATGATTGGTATAATATGGCAATAACTTATTATAAATGTGACATGTCAATAAATAAATACATAAAATAAATAATAACATACTGTTGAATACATTCCACCAGCTAACATTTAGCTAGTGCAACTGCTATTATTAATTATTTTAATTAATATAGAGAATTCTACTCTAAAAAAAAAATAGTTGCTGGTAAAGTGTGATATCAGACAACATACTTTTGCATGATCTGCCATCACTTCCCAAGACAAAGCCCATCTTGCAGCGACAAGTTCTGCTTTTATAGCTGCTGCTGAGTAAACAGATGTGTGAACATCTACCTGGCCTTCCATGTTGGTCTACTTCACATGCGTGGCTTCTGACTGCAACAGATACAAACAACAAGTTAGAAATTCTTTAAAACAAGCATGCTCAAACTCCATAAAACAAAAGATATACCTGAACATTACAACATATTCATACTCCCCAATAAGAAGTATTTAAAGAGTTCCTTAATACTACAGAACAATGTGAAGTCCATGAAGAGGTCATATTTTGAAGGAGCACACATATATAATCTTGATTTTAAAAATAGGAAAAGGGAATGCATAAAAATTTTGCTGTGAGAAACTTTGACATTTAGCTTCTATTCTTAACCACACTTCTTCACTTTTCCATGATTGTTTGTATTAAATGAGATTCCACGTTCTGTTTAACAACAGTATAATTACTATATGCATCTATTATGAGTTCATGTTGTCACTTTGGTTAAGTCACTTGATTTTTCATGAGGCTATGCATGCTTCAGAAATGATTTGGAAGGAATGACTGGGATCAGGCACAAGTGCAAACTCAACAACTTCTGTGCAAGCCTGGAAAAAGATGCTACTGCTTTATGGAATCAACTCATTCAAGCAATCATTCAAGCAGCAGTGCTATTTTTCTGGGATAGGGAAATGTAGAAGCCTAAAAAAGGCATATGCGTTTTAGTGAACAGTAGAAAGATGACACATTTCTGTATGTGCAAGGTCTGAATCATTTACTTAGAATCATTTTCAAAAAGTGTGGAGCCCTAATATGTACATATCTCAGGTTTTTTTTATTATTATTATTGTATTTAGGTGGAGGAGGAGATTATAATTTTAATTGCTTAACCATAGTCATAACAAAATTAAATGCATATTACAAGGATATTAATGATAATAGTTAAAATAGTAAGTGAAACCAAAAATAGCATCTTCACTATGACCTGAGAGAAAGGAGAGGGAAAAAAATAACCATCACAAAAGGATGAGAAAATTTCCTAAACAGGAATGTAAATTTAGTATTTAGTTATTGATGTTAACCAAAAGGTTTTGATAACTTGGAGCAGCAATTCAAGCAAAGCCTACCATTGCTATTGTGTAGTGAAGTGCTATCCTATTGCTACAGGAAAGTAAAAAAACTAATTTTCTGGGGTTCTGGCCAGTTCTTGTGTCCTTCTAGAAATGGGGCTACTGAAGAATGTGAATAAATTGGAAGGTAGTTGGAAGATTATAGATTACAGACGAGGAACAACTGAAGATTGTAATTGGTGTTTTTTTTTAATGTATTTATTCTTTTTAATTGTTGTACACTGGCCAGAGTCACTTATATGTGAGATGAGTGGCTGTATAAATACAATCAATCAGTCAATCTGCTGCATTCTTAATCATGTCAAGACACTCATTAAAAAAAAATAAAGGAGAGAATTTCTATTACATACCATAGAGAGATCAAATTAGATGGCTAGACTTTGCACTCTCAATGTATACATTTGTCTGATTTAAAAGGAGGAGTGAATTCTAATGAAAACAACAACATTTTGAATCTGATAGTCCAGTTCCTGGATCATGTTGCATCTTTACTTCAGAAGATGAAGTTTGCATAATCTGATATCTGAAATAAATCTCACCCCAGGCCAAAAATTAAACATTTTAATAGCAGAATTTGATCTGGCTGGAAGTATACTAGTTTCAGAATGGAGAAAGAGAACAGAATTCTAGCAGTTCAAGACAAATTGCTTTAAAGGGATTTAATATATTATGATGAATACATATTACAAATTCTGATCTATAGAGAATACAGAATTTTGCTTTTATTAAATGGAAAAGTAGCTGAATTTGGTAACTGTTTGTCCAACAACATTTTGTGCACCAACAATATATAATCTCATTTATTTGCTAATTAAGTTCAGACACTTCTAATGACCAAGTCAACTTTCAGCTGAGGAAGTTAGTTAACGGTATGTGGAGACTTGCTCAATGAAATGAGAATAAATTCTTTACTTAAGAACTTTTTCACCAAAGACCACAACTTTTGGTTTTTCATAATTAATTACTACTACATTTCCATGACCTTTGCAATCAAATTAGTCATCAACAAAACCACTACTATTGTCATAAAGTAATAAAATTTCCTTTCATATATTTTCATATTCTGACTGGAAAGAAGCACCCTCTTCCCAGCTCTGAGACCTAAGTGTTCTAATATCATATATCTAACTCTAAAACCAGTTGGTTCTTTCAACATGTTATTTTAGATACATAACTCCTCCAATATATGCAGTAAATGCTTTGCAAACAATTTAGCAGCAAATTTTATAAGATTGGTTAATTTATACTTAGATCAACAATTAAAGACTCCCTTGTTAAACACAAGAACAACAGTAATTATGTTTACTTCTAAGGAAATTGACTAGATGAGGTAATTCAGTTAGAAATCTTTACAAAGATTGCCATTTATCATTCTGATTTATATTTAAATACCTCCTCAACAACAAATTCTTCCCCTGGGACTTTGTTAGAAGGTAAGGAATTAATCAAGTTTTTCACCTCATTGCATGATAATGGAAGTCAAGGATCAGTGGTTCTAAGGTAAATATTGGTGAAGGTATTGTCAATTCAGCACACCAGTCTTGATACAGAGGGCAGCATAGCAACACATGTGATACTATTTTGATCGCGCCAACCCAACCATAATAGAGATGACAGTAAGACAAAAAGTTATTAAGCCTTCCCTCCTGAACCACATCCTCTGTAACATGGACAGGAATGTTAGTAAAGTAGTTTGATAATATATAGGATCTGACACAGAGGAGTATGTTCCAAGAAAAAGGAACTTTACTCCTATCTCTTTGTAAAACCAGGTCAAGCATCCATTGCTTTGTCTTTAAAATGGCTGTCTCAAACCACAGCATCATCAAGAACTGGAGTGAGAGGTTAAAATAATGTAGGACTGTGGTTATCCCTTTCTTCAAGAAGAAACAAAATTGCCCTCTAAGACTATCAGCCAAAATTAAAGGACAGTTTTAGCCACTACTTTAATCAGCAAGATTTCACACAAACCTCTATGGAGGGAAGACCAGCTTCCAAATGCAGAAAAGCATTTTGTACTGACTGAGGAATGCATAGCATCATTTAAAAAATTGGACTGAATTACCTGTAAGGCTCTTCTGTCATTGTTGGGTACTGAACCCAAGGGTCAAGACCCTAGCCCTGAATAATTCTACTTTAGCAGGGACATAATTGATGCCACTGTGGCTAGCAAGCTTGTAGATTACTGAGGAGGGGGAAACACCCAGGTATTTAAAATTCTTGATTTGTTCAATATGAACACCACACATGTGCCACTTGTGACAGCAATTAGCATGCCCCTTAGTAGCCTCTCACCTGAGATTCGAAGGGCCCCTACCCTTTTAGTCTTCCAGTATTCCATGAAGACCTGGCTCTTCCCCCAGGTATTGGACTATGATGGGGTTGAGTCAGGAGGTTAATATTATACATGGTCTGGAGCAGGGTGGGAAGGTTTTTTTTTCTGTTGTTACCTTTTTTTTTAAAAAAAGGTTGTTGTGAGCTGCCTAAGATCATTATGTGAGATAGGCAGCCATAAAAGTTCTTTAAATAAGTAAAACTGCTGTTTTGGAAGAATCGAGGGCCATTTTTTCCTCCCAGCAAAATGCTTCAAGAATTTGTAAGTCCACCTTAGAGAAAGTAAACTGTTGCCTGTGGTTGATGTCTCTCTCCCTGTTTTCCCCTGCATTTTAGCTCATTCTGCCAGTTAACTGGTGTGTGTGTGTGGGGGGGTGTATTTGGTGATATTTCATAACTAAGCATCAAACTATATTTTTTGATAACAGTATTGAGTGCTATGTGCTTGCTCTGAGCTGCATGTAGGGACTGACTGGGAGTGTGCTAGGTACAAATCAAAATGGAAATTATCTGTAGTAATTTTCCAACAGATTTATGAGCTCAAAAGTCACCTGGGAGTACCCCAAAGCACCCCAGTCACAAAACATCCCAGTTTATTTCCAGGCACATGGTCAAGCATATAGCTGAACCAGCACTCAGAATCCACAAATCATAATGATTCATTAGGACTTAAAGTATCTGCATGCCTTCAAAGCTACCACAAAGTTTTTGAAAATGACTATGACATCAGACACAGAAAATCTCAAGTTTGAAGATGGGAAACATCTGGAACATGAAGATGGAGATACTATTTGAAAATCTGAACCATGTCCAAAGAAGCTTAATCCAGGATAGGTTGGATAAAAAAAAGGATAGATTACTGTAGTCTGAAATAATTCTGAGGTTGGGCTCAACAAACTGTAAATTAATTCAAAATTGTGCTTCAGGAAAGGAGAACTGGGACAAGCTAAGACAGACATATGCATGCTCAGGAATCAGCAATAATACTTTAATGTTAAGACAACTCATAAACCTGAAATTATCATGCAATGGAAGTTTAATGTAACCTATATCACATTACCTCTCTATTCAGAAGAAACTAAAACAAAATAATGTAAACCTTTCTGATAATTTCATCAAGGAACTGTTATTAATATCATTATAAAAAAAACTATAAATATATAGTAGAATTAATCAAACTTTATGATGAAATTTCCTTTGAGAATATAGTTGCCAGACTGGATGCATACCAGCATTATTTGAGGTATCCAACTGAAGGAAATTCTCTAAGCAAGTTAAAAAGGAGAAATTAAGTCTGTCATTACTGTAATAGAAAGAGACATATTAAAAGAGAATGCTTTACAGAGCTAAAATCCATACAACAGAGAGAAATAATGAGATCAAATATCTGAAAAATCAAGTCTGCAGAGGGATTGCAAAACAATGAAGTACAAAGAAACAGTATTTATATTAGCAAATAAGTGCTTATTTGAAATTGGACAGAATTCTGAATCTGAAAAGAAAAACAGATTGTTGTGGATAGTGATGCATCAAGTCAATATATCTGCAACAAAGATGCATGTATAAACCTTGATAAATCTCACCAAGGAAAAGTTAATTTAGCAAATGGTTAGTCAATAGAAGTATGTGGAAAAGGCAGTATTAAAATTAAAGGC